CACACACACACACACACACACACACACACACACACACCCACACACCCACACACACCACCAACACACACATATATACACTGCACACACACACACAGCACACTCCACATAAGGAGTTGGAACATCCTGGTAGAAAGAGCTCTATGGAAGAGAGATGTTACATTTGTGTTTCAGAGGTTCTGCCAGATCAGCCATAAAAGTCTTCAGCATGAAAACTGGCTGACTATCAAGAACTACACTTACATCATTGAAAATAACACTCACTGAAAATAACACATACGACTGGTTTGCATTTGGGTGATTGAGGGATTAAAGTGGGGCTCGTTAAATGACAGTGTGACCAGGATGTCAGTAATCCCTGCCTAATTGAGGTAACATTTATCTACTCATTTCACAACATTTAGTATGGGTCAGTATTTCCATATATCAGAAGCAGGATCTATGAAAGAAAAAAAAAGAAAAGAAAAAGAAAAGCAAGCAAGAATAACGTGTATTTTGATTGTTTTTCCCCCCACATTTACCTTTGCATTCTGGACATCCGGTGTAATTCCATGTCATCGCTACCACGGAATCCTTTTGCAAATGGGTTGTTCTCGATCTTCAGCTGGGTTATCTGTAAGAGCAAACACACGAAGTGTCAGTAACATACACTGTTGCAGTAAGAGTCAATTGTTGTGCTGCTTATGTCATTTCATTGTCAGCTGCGTTTAAAAGCACCCAATTACAGCCAACCCACACATGCATTGAAATAGCAGCTATTTAAAAGCAGCATTTCGCCGTGTGCCAGACTGTCAGACAAGACAAGTCCTCTTCAACTCAGGGGTTTTATGATGACAATATTAAACATATATTTTTGGAGAAAACCGGGGCTTTACAGGTTTTTTTTGGATGCATGTAAGTGTTCACAAGCTACCCAAGAGTGAAATAACAGATCATATTTCCAGAAACCTGAGATACTTTCTGAGCTGAGTTCCTGAGTGCAATAGTTCAATAAAAACATGTCTATATAAATCATCTTTCATTGCTTAATTTATGATGTTACATTAGATGATGTCTAGCTTAGGAGATAGCTGGCTCGTGCATGACAGATACAAATCATAAGACTTATTCTATGACTTAATGTTTTGGTAAAAAACGTCTCTATCAATACCAAACAAATAGAAGCAGAAATTACTTTCAGAGCCACCCATAAACAATAAGTTAATCCCAGAGTGGTTTAACCCAGTCCCGGGATATCCCTCTCGTGAGCAGTGGTTTCTGGCAGGTAATTAGCTGGCAGCTCTCGTGTGCTTCCAGCTTTTTGACAAGACTGGAAGTTTGTGTGCACGCTGGCTGACACTTTCAGCAAACTTTGTAAAATCTCTCATGTGACACTTTGCTAGCTTCTTGTTAATACGAGCTGTCTGTCAGATCATTTATACACTGTCTCATCATTTTAAAAGTTTGGCATTAAAAGTTCAGTCTATTTCGCCCTTTTTATCCCCCTGCATGTCTTCCAAAAATACACCTAGACCAATAATTATCCAGTCCAACAATCTTATTCTCAGCTGAGTTTACAGAGAGAAAATTAAATATTTTACAAAAGATTTTGTTCTGACTAGAATTAGCAGATAGGAGGAAAAAAGGACAAAATAATTTGAGAGTCGAAATTCAAAGGCTGTAGTTTGACTAGGCTGTGTCCAAACTGTTCTCATTAAAATAACTGAGGCTGACATAAACACATTTCCAGATGCAAAATGAAGTGAAGTAGTTCAAGTAAGATTTTTTTTTTTTAAAAGAAAAGAACAAAAATATGAGCTGGTCTTAATTCATCTTCCCAGTTTCACAAAAATCTTAAGAAAACATACCACTCCAGAAACCTCAGTTTCTGGAGAAAATGCTTTAATTATAGCTACGACAGGAAAGAGCTGAAACCAGAGACTTTGACCATTTCATTAGCTGAGAGTCTAACAGGTGAATTGGACAGATGCCTGCAGCTCGTAGCCCACTCCTTTTGGCAGGCTTAAAACTGTTTGATTAGACAAATGTGGCAAGAAAAAAAAGAGCCTCGAAACCCGAAATGCCCCTTTCTTTCCTGCAGGTCTGGAAAGCCCTAATAATTAGCCCGCAGTTACGATCTCAGCCCCTAGTAACAGGCTCAAAAATAATGAATGGTTTCTACAGAATGTTGGTCATTTGTGCTTCCTGTTCCCAGAAGCCCGGAGACCTGGATTGGCTGCGGGGACATTATGAGCTTTCGCCCCTTTCTCCCATATTCCCCAAACTAAAAACATATAGGCCTGCATGGTTAAAGGATGTTAAACAGATGCTGTTTGCAGATATTTGTATTCCCAAGATTTTTTCCCCTCGCCCAGAAATGTGGACAGTGTAAATATTGAATTTTATTCCTGCTACTTTCACAAGTCTGAACACGCAATGGCGACTTAAAAAAACAAAACAAAAAGAAAATACGAGGCTGTGCGGCTCAAGAAATCACATCTTTAACTATAATCTGATGTTATAAGTTTCCAGATTCCAGATACGTGAAAAACAAGGGTGATTCCAAGGTTTTCTGTTTCCAATTAAACACGGTAAGAAACTTAATTTATAACTCAATAATGTTAATTAAAGCTCCGTCGTTAACCGAGAAAGAGAAGCTTAGAAAATAAATGGAAAAAGGCAAACATTTGAATAGCATATGTAAAATCTGGTTTCCCTTGTGCGGGTATATGTAATTAAATCTTCAAAGTTTTTAGACTGAGATCTGTTTTTTGCGCGTCTACATACGAGCAATGCGTAAGGAGAGCTTCGAAATAAAGCATGCAGTGATAGTCTCATCTACACTGAAATAGACTGAAAATCAAACACCAACAAATAAATTTAAAAAATAATTACTAGAACTGTTTCAAAGTAGGTAGTTATTTATCTCCAACAAAAGCCTTAATAATAAAATCATGCCACGGACTTGGGTCTGTGAAACGTGTTCTAGTCAGGAATCTGAAGTTTTCCTGCGAGCAGCTGAGTTTAATATCAACGATTTTTAGTGAAAAACTTTAAACTCTCAAAGAGCTATTATTTCCCCTCTCCTTTAATCCAACAGAAGACCAAGAGCTGCATAAAAAATTGACAAAAAAATTATTATTAAAAAATAATTTGTGCAAAAATTATAAACACATTTTAAAAAATAACTTCAATGTGAAATCGACCTTTGCGCAATCCTGCATTTGCACCGGGGGCATTTTTGAGAGTGCAACAGACTGCATGGTTCTGTTTGCACAACTGATATTTCCTCTCTTTATATTTACCTCCGTTTGAAACACTGTGTAATTTTAACCACCCCATAAAATACGTAAACCTAAAGCTGCCCCTTTCGCGACAATAAATGAATAAAAATATCCAAAAATACCCCAAGGTTTTACCTTATGGTTCTGATAGGATGTCACCGCAATGAAAGATGTTTCCGGAAAGACGTGAGTGCAGAAGGCCGTGTTTTTGGAACCAAAGCCATTATTTTCATCCGCTTTCACGATGTGAATCCTTGGTTGATACTTGTGCATCGAATTGAGGATGATCTGCAATAAAGAGAAAGTGGCGTTACACACATATATTTGGCGTGATTTCTAAAAATAAAATTAAACAAAATGAGATACACCCTACCAGTCCTCAAATGTGGGGTTTTTTTTGAGTGCGCTTTTTTTTTAAAGATTAAAAATCTCCTTTTGTAAGAAAACACTTTACCATATATTTGTTATAATAATAATAATAAAAATAATAAATGTTAGTAAGACATTAGCCATTTTTACGCATGAGCAACATGCTGACATGATAAGATTACAGTCTATTTTGCAAAAGGTCTATTTCAGTACTTTCACCAACGCACTGGTCTGCTTATACTTCTCAATAAAATTGTTTTTGTCCCTGTAATTTTACGAATTCTGTCTACTGTGTAATGGAATCCACTTTTCCTCTCAAAACGTCTAAGCTGAGCTATAGTTTCTGAAAAAAACTTGTTTGGCTAAAACACTTTTATTGAACAACAAATTGTAATGAAAGTTTTATTTTTACCTTTTTATAGATATTTAAAATAAAGTCGACCAATTTGCATTCTTCTTCTTCTTCTTCTTGTTTTTTTTTTTTACAGCACAGTCATTTAAACATTCCTGGTATTTTAAATAGAACAAAGATTTAAAATGTTCTAATTAAACCCTTTAAAAATATAAATTGTCTCTCACTGTAATTATTACTGCAGTGACAGTGATTTATCGTGTTATTTATACAGCACTTCTCATGACAGTCACACAGATAAATGCAGGAGATAGACATATGCATGCCCTCTTCCTTTATATTCTGTCACCTTACTAAACCAGCCTATGAGAACTACAGTGAATAGAATGAACCTGTCTTTTGTTAGTCAAGGCCATCAATCTTGAAGAAATATTATTTATTTATTTTATTTTAATTCCCATTAAATTCTTCTAATAAAAACAACGGTAATTGCTTTTTAATTTACTTATCCCTGCATTCGGTGCCATACCCATTCCTTCTATACTTTATCTGAAAGAGTGTTTTTGAACCTGCGTCTCAGTGCTAGCATGAGAAGAGCAGGGGGATTGCCCTGACCTCCAGTACCTATGGGGGCATCCTGCAGTATTACACAGACATAACCCAGAGTCTTTTCTCAGAGGCGAATGAACCATAGAGACCTACATAGATAATACAATAGTCATCCATTATTAATTCCCAGTTGAACTTGATCTCATTTCATGCTGGAATAGGTTTTTGTAATGGGCAGGAGAAAGTGTTTTTCAGCTGCCTGCCATGCACCTTGTAGATGCAAACTATTTAATGGAAGTAAGTGACAGAAAACATCAGTCAGGATTTGTTTAGTGGATCACTTCAGTTACATAAGCAGGCGCAGCTTTTTGTTTTTGTGGATTTTTGCAGTATTGCAGTTTTGTCATGGTGTATTTGAAAAACAAAAAAAAACAAGCAAACAAAAAAACTTCTTTCACGTGTCTGTTAAGCAGCAGTCCCTATGTCTTAATATTTAGAATCATTAATGAGGCTTCAAAACACAACTCGAAACTATGTAAACTGTGCAAAGAAAAAGCAGGGTAAATGGCAGATTTTCTCATGCATTCATTGCCTGCTTATTTCTTAGTTTGCATATATGTCCAAGATTGGAACAAACCACAACAACTAGTCCACTGATGCAAACATGTCATACAGCACCCTGTATGGTTTAAGAGGCTAAAAATGTCTGTCATGGGCATGAAGACATATTAGAAGTTGCATAAATGTCTAAATGCACATTTCACCATGGAAAATAGCATGGCCCACTAATCATGGGTTCCTAAAGTCCAGTATTTGTGCTATTAGGATGGGATGTGGTAGTGAGGAGGGGGTAGCTGTAGACCACCCACTGGGGACTCAGCATACACCTCAACTCCGTGGCCTAGTCACTGCCCTGCCTGGTTCCCTGTATCTCTGCCTCAACCCCCCCTAGCTTCTGGATGATCGCATGTAATGATAGTGAAGGATCACTTTGGGTCCCGGGCTGCTGCCCTTTTACTTTCAAGTTCCTCCACATCAGAGAGTTTCCCCAAGCTTCAGGATTAGCAGTCTTTGTACACCACCATCTATTGCTCATCACACACTGCCATTCAAATATAAACAGTGTGATCCTCACACTCCACCCTCATGCACAAAACATGTGTGGGAAGACTGGGAGACGAGTGCAGCAGCAAACTGATGGGTAAGACAAATAACACTGAGAAATATTCTGGGAGTTGAGACAGACATCAGAGCAAAAACTACAGATTGGTATGAAACAGAAACAAAAACAAACTATTCAGGAATTCAGATACAGAAAAAACACCACTTAATTCTGTAATTTTGTGACCAAACTAGTGCTGTTGTGGAGGTTTTGATATGTATCGACGGATATGAATAACAAACAATAAAGCAAATACACTTTGTTAAAGCCATAGTACAGAGGGATTAAATTTAAGATACTTGAATCACAAATAAAATTACTTACAACAAAATAGCACTTGTTACTAAATATGCTATATACAAAAATTATAATGTTGCAGATGGCAAAGTTTAACCTTTAACTAATAAGAATACAGAATTTTTACATTTTGGGGCAGCTTAATGTATAACTTTTTTTAAAGAAGATATTTATGTAAGTAGAATCTCATGGAAACTAAAAACCAAATAGCTAGCCAAAACTGTTACCCTGTAATATAACTAAAGTCAGTGAGTATATATACTTAGTTACTTCACAAAATTAGAACATTATGATTAATAATTGTATCTTTAAATAAATCTCTTTTACGATACACACTTCTTTAAAATGCATTACCTAGCTTCGCTATAACTAAAACACATTACCATTGAAATAAACTGCTTAGTGAAACAGACCTCAGCCTCAACACTTTCATACGACGAATATGTAAAATATCAGAAAAATGACTTATGTGTATGTAACCTATACATACTGTGTATAATTTAAAAATCCTGTTCCTTGCAAATATCCTTCTGCCCACTTCAACCCACTATTCTTCACTATATTTCTACACAAAACTTAATAAAATAGCATATCTACAAGATTTTCCATAACATTTCCAAAGCTCCTTAAACTACCTTCTTTCATGATTCCCACTAAAATGTTTGTTATAACAAATTTGTTTTAAGAGTGAGGGTTACACTCCACGGTTATGCAATACAGTTCAATGGGTTATAAAACTGTCACAAACCAAAAACAGAACAATTAACCTTGCATTAAGACAAAGGCACCACATCCTCTGAGATTAATTCCTAAGCTGAGCTCAGTCCTGCCCGGCCCCCTGACGTGTATGTTTTACAGACATTTCTAGAAGAAAACCTCAGGCCAGTCCTGTATTGGTTTAATCGGCATCAGCAATATGTTTTAGTCTCATGTCTCACTGCTAGTAATTATAAATCATCTACAAGTTATTTCAACCAGCTGGACCAACAAGCTGATGGAGTATATTTCTGGACAGCCACCAGTGCTTCATTTATGAATCCCATGGAGCTCTCTCCCAGCACGAAAGAGGCAGAGCCAGGAACCACTGCAACCAATCAAACTTTACTTTAACCCAAAATTCACAGTGCTGCTCACATTCCGACTGAGACTCAGTTTCATCTCACTGGCTGTGCTTTGGCAAGGGAGCAGTTCCTTTAGGTGCCATGTGGACAGATAGTAGCTTGTGTGTGCTAGAATTCATATTAATTTTTCCGTGGGTAACTTTGAAAGCTGAAACCAGCTTCACTTTGATTCATTACCACACTGAAACCAACACCTTAAGTGGATGCAGAAGTATACATAAGAATATAGTATAATGGCAACAATAATATATAGTATAATAATTGGTGTGTGGTCATAATAATAATTGGTCATATGCAATGAGATCGTGTTTTTTGTGGACTATCGAGCATTGTGGAGTAATACGTCTCTAAAAGCAAAACCAAACAAACACAGCTTGCGTTAAGGAATGTTTTCTCATGAAAGCAAACCAGCTGTTGAGGTAACCTTTGCCAAATTTATAATTGTATTTTCCTTTAATGGCTAAGCCTGTTAGTAAGAAAGTTAACTGTGCGGATGCTCTGTTTCTACAAAAAGACATCTAATTAGGCCTAAATGTACCCATCGAGATACCTTTCTTCATGAAAACCTGCTGCCAAAGGGCCCATTTGTTGATGAAGTAAGTGATGTTTGTACTTTCTGCTTTGGGTAAGACAGGAATCACAAAAGCCTGAGGCCAGATAGGGAGTTTAGAATAATGAGGAGTTAAAGCTAGGAAATAGGTACCATACAGCCTCTTACTGCTGAGAAGGGTGAAGGAGATGGTGGGTGGTGGTGCAATTGCCCTTTTCCTTTTTCCTAAAAAAGTTCCCAGTTGATCTCTTCTACTCATGCAAGCTGAATTCCAGGAGGTCCATGGCTAATGCACCTAGGGGGTGCTATAATAACACTGTGCTACAAAAGGTATGTTACTAACACCTTCATAGCAAACATATTACATATTAAAGAATAAGATGATTGCACGATAAGAAAGAAATATTTGTCTCAATCTGGAATATTTATCTAAAGATCACAGAGACTCTTCAAAACATTACTTTTACATCATTATGTTCAATAGTAAAAACAGAATATCACCAAACTTTTTTGTAATCTCAGGAGATTCCACTTTGGAAAAGTAAAGTAGAAAAAACCTTCATATGGCACAAAATTTCCTCTATATTTCTTTTTTTGTGTTTAAAGTATATCAGGCTTACTATTATTATTATTGCTATTATTGCTATTATTATTATTATTATTATTATTATTATTATTATTATTATTATTATTTTTGTTGTTGTTGTTATTATTATAGCAGTAGTATAGTAGTGGTAGAAGTATTTGCATCTAATTGAACACCACAACTATTTCACTATTTAAAATTAATTTTGTGACGTTTTCAACATCAGAATGCATTTCATTACTTACTATTTTCGTATTCATTTTAACACTGCAAGTTACATTTAACAAAAAATGGAAAAAAAGGACAAAACATAAAAAATATAAACGTATCTATATAATAAAACGTATACCCTCCACCAAAGCGATGGATGGATGGTTAGATGGAATTTATCAAACGATTTACTTTCACTAAAACACATCTTTACAGAAGCAACTTAATAAAGTTTGGGCTCCACAGGTGCAGTGAAAGAATGACTGAAAGATTATGTTTAAGTTTTAATGCACATTTAACAGATCAAATGCAAAGTTTTAAGCAAATAAATAAATCAATAAACTGGTTGCCTCTCTTTAAAAAATATGACCAGGCAGGAGCATTATCTTTAATCAATTTAAAATGTGTGTAAAATATTTAACCTCAAAAAAACAATAAAACGTACTTTTAATTAGCTGCGAGTAGCAACAACAACAACAACAACAACAACAACAACGACGACAACAACAACAACAACAATAATAATAATAATAATAATAATAATAATAATAATAATATGTTAGGCATTTTTATATAAATGGCGATGCAGAGACCTGCAGATAAGCATTTAGTGCCATCATGTAACACGTCGGGCCTTAACGGATTCTCGGGATTTGGGTCAGTGCAACACCAGGTTAGCAATCATGTGGTTAAATAGTATTGATGATAGGCAGGCACCTACGTGTCCGAACGGGTCCAGGTGGTTGTTGGTCAATTTCAGCTTCTGGAAGGAGACGAGCTGCCTCATCCAATGAGCCCCCGTGGCGGGAGAGTCCGGGTGAACGTAGAGTCTCCCGGGCATGGCAGGCTCTGCCTTCCCAGTCACAGACCTTGATACACAGCAACACAGTCACACGCTTTGAAACTTGCTGGACTAACACTCACATGCTAGCCGCAACTGAGTCGGTCCTAACAAGTCGAAAGAAGATAAGATAATGACTGTGGATAAAATGTAATAATAAATTACATTTTTATTATAAACGGAAAACTTAAATTAGTGGGGCACTGTTTCTAATTATTACGCACAAAATGGCGCAATATGGGACTTTCTGCACTTAAAGTTCTAAACTATAGGTGATAACGTCTTTTTCAAAACTTTGCTTTATTAACTTTAAACTTCAGTACATAAGGAAGCCTTCTGTATCGTGCCATTGTCGGATATTGATTGCTTCTAGTCACGTTAGACGTTAAAGGCACTGTTTTGCAACATATGTGGAACGAGGGGAGAATTAGTTTTAGGCCGTGCTTAATGCGTCTTCAGTGGCATCATTGGCATGTAGCTAGCAATATTAAAGGCTCTGACACAAAGAAGAAAGACCCGCTTGGAGAACGACTCTAGACAAACAGCCGTGTGAAAAAAATCTTTGATGCAGTGCAAGGAAAAGTTTATCTCGTTGCTTTCAGCGCAGAAAACTCAGCACTGACAGAAACATTTCTGCCTGCTGACTTCATTTCTTGGCAAATATTAGAAAAAACACAGTTAATAATTCTCCCGGAAATAATATATTCACTTCCGATTCCCGTCCATCACGACAATATAACGGTCCCCGCTGCAAATAACTCCAGAGAGAGCGAGAAAGCGAGAGACTAGCTGAGATCCCCCTCCCCCAACCCCCCCCCCACCCCCTAACCCCTAACCCTAACCCTAACCCCAACCCCAAACCCTAACCCTAACCCCAAAAAACAGAAAAACAAACAAAATCAAAAACTAAAAAAACACACACACCAAAAAACAAAACAAAACAAAAAAAAAACAATGACCCGGATTTTCATCGGTGCGTAAAAGTATATGTTGGCAAGGCAAATCCTTTTAGAGAAGCGTTGCTGTGTTATGTTTTTACGTACCATTTATTATCGGCGAATTTGTATCGATGGTCGTCAGCTGGAACAACATCCATAAGTAGAATGTATTTCGTTTTAGGGTT